GTTTTAAGTCACCAGGTCCAGGACGCGAACCACGGTCGACTACGTGGGAGTCCAGCGACATAGCCATTACGCTAACTGCTGGTTCCCGAATTTGATTTTCTTCATCAATCTGATTTACTAAAGGAAAACTTTTTTGGGGGGGAAAGAATTTTGCTATAGGGAGTGTGTGCTTGCCTGTGAGACAGGGAGAGACAGAGAGACCAAAATTGGAAAATCACTGCCCCTAAGGGAGATGGCTGTACTGTGATCCCTTTTCCTCCAGTCTCCACAGGGGATGTTGGGCAGGCATGCACACTCACACAGCATGAGTTTTAAGCCACTGGGTCCAGGACTTGAACCACAGTTGACTACATGGGAGTCCAGCAACTAACCATTATGCCATCTACTGGCCCCAAGAAAAAACTTTTTTTAACATAAATAAGTACAAAACAGTAGAGAACTTTTTGCAATAGCAAAATACTCGTGACAAGTATCATATAGGTCATTAAACATAAGTTTGGATGATAAATAAATAGCTGAAAACATGATTGGCAGAGCTGAGCTTTATTGAAAGAAAATAATCACATAGACAAAGATATGTCTCTCTCTGTTTAAATAGTCTTTTTAAATTTTTAAATCTTATTTAGAGATTTTTGCCTCAGGGCACATGCCCTTGCCAGAGAGGGAGTGAGACAGATCAGTGTGTTGGGGGGAGATGTGCATGCTGTAATTTCTTTTGCTCCATTCTCCTCCTGCGATCTTGAGCACATATGCATATGCACACGGTATGAGTTTCAAGCCACCAAGTGCAGGACTCAAACTACAGTGAGCCATGTGGGATCCAGTGACCTAATCACTACACTGTTGATCCCAGAAATTAACATTCTTAATTTTTATGAGGTTTCAAAAATGGTAATGCTTCATCAAGATTCATTCAAGGAAGTTCTATTAATTTCATCTATTATTCTTTTTTATTTACAATGCTTGTGTATCTATGCTGCAAAATGAAACCACCTAGGGAGCTTAAATATCAATGTGACCTAGATCTCATTC